GGGGGCCCCCCCCCCCCCCATCCCTTCCCATTCATTCGCCCCCTCATTACATGTTATGTCTTGTGACTTGTTGTAACTGTCATCTGCTTATTTATGTGCTAGGGTCTTTTTTTATCCTGGACTTAAATTATCCTCAGAAGAGGATAGTTGGAGCGTGGTTTTTTTTTCCCTCTCCCTACCTTGTGGTTTCCTTTCTGAACTCTGACTGTAAATTTCCCCATTGCGGGACAAATAAAGGCTTATCTTATCTTATCTACTGCCAACAATATACTGTCGTATAATAACAAAGATGGCACAAGGGCAATGTGGATCTTGTAACGGATTATAAATAAAATTGAGAAGAAAATAACACAACTTCACAAGAAGAGCCATATATATAATTATTTTTTTTGTGTGTTTTCACAAAATCAGGTGTATGTCATGGTGATGAGTTTTGACTTATTGACAAAAATGGATTATTTGGTCAAAAATTTTGATTTTGAGATTAAAAAAAAGTACTTTCCTTGAGGTCTTTATTTTCATTTCCCAGTAGCGAAGGTTAAATGAGCATCCATTTCAAGTGTTCTGTTAACCTGTCATCCATGTTTTTGGAATGCGGTAGCAAACTGGAGTACCAGGCAAAACCTACGCAGGCACAGGGCGATTATGTAAATTCCACACAGGAAGGCCGGGGCCCGGAATCGAAGCCATAACCTCTACACTGTGAGGGGGACATGCTAACCATTTGCCCCCCTTAGATTTTAAAGATTAAAATCTCAGATGATCTTAGCTATTGAAATTCACTTCCGAGTGGTCTTTCAACAGTTTAGGGTCAACATCTTTTTCCTGTTGCTATGGACCTTTGAAACATGTATGTGTCAAAACGTTGAACACTTTTTATTCAAAACCCGGGATTACAACCTGGCAACATTGAATTTGCTTGAACTTTGTCAATTTGCTTCGGTACTTACATGTATTATACATATTTTTTTTTCAGGGAATTAGGTGTAAAGTTGGAACACACTAGAATCTTGATTTTCATTTTTGAGATATAAGCCTGATTTTGTGAAAACACATCGCATATGCTGTACACAGAGAGAGAGAGAGAGAGAGAGAGAGAGAGAGGGAGAGCAAAAGTCATACTGAATTTGCGCGTGTCACATACAATACATTAATAAAATGGTTTAAAAAATACTATTAGTCCAAAATGAAGTATGTGTTTCAAATACTTTTTGTCAAAATGATTGATGCTAACTATAACTTTAATAACAAACACACTCATTGCATACTCACATCAAAAGCACTCCCGAATTATATTAAATTGCAAAATATTTGTTTTTAATTTTGATATGATGCACTATGATGTTGCCTGAACAGTGCAAAAATAGGTTTCTTAAAACATTTAAAATAAAATTAATATCTAATAGTTGCCGATCGCGATGTTGTTTTACTATACCAATGTAAAGTGATTTTTTTATTTTATTTTTTTTTGCCAAATAATTTTTGACTTGTGAATCTAAATGGCTTGCGTGATATACTGTGATTTTGTGTTGTGCAAGTAGATGCAAATATATATTTAGCCCAGTGTGGTGTATGATAAAATATTGCCACTTTAAATATTTAGCTTTTTTAAAAATGTATTTTAAATGACTAAAAGTGTAATGTGGCTATGCGCTCATGTATTTTCTGATTGGGCTTTTGTCAGCAACCTACCTGTGAAATTGCAGCATTTGATTACCAACAATAGCTTGACTTTGAAGTGAAAAGGTGTAAACTGGACATGTCTAACTTTTTTGGGGAACAAGACATTTTGAAAATGTGTGTACATGACAAGCTCTGTTGAAATGTATCCGTTTTTGATGAATTTTTACACAAAGGTGTTAGGCAATGAGAAAGCGCAGACTATGGAAATTATTGCATCAGCAATGACATTGTGAAAAGCTGGAAAGTGTGCTTGGATGTTTTTGGAAGTGCGGAGTGGCTAAACTGATGGAGGCCAGTGGAAAAATTGGTTCTCCTGCTTTGTTTTAAAACAGAACTGAGTTGGACTTCTTCAAATAACTCAGATTTATTGTCATTATTTTAAGTGTTGCCTTAATAACCTTTGCGCAGACACAAATATAGTTACACCCGCAATAGCTTTTACTATGATTACCAATTTATTATAGTGTATGTAAGCATCATAAGATGTGAATGCACAAATAATGTGTGCATACAGTATTGTTGTTGAGTGTATCAATGGGCATTTTACAATTCTTGTACACATCAAATTATTGACAGTAAAAGATCTGGTTTTGTATTTTGTCTGTGAGAATATTTTAAAATGTACAACTTTTGAAAATTACTACAAACATGGATTCTAAATAATTATGGACATGTAAGAAAGAGAATAAGTACATGTACTTTAGTCAGAAAGTCTTTGATACTATTGTTAGCTGAATGATTTATAAACCCCAATAAACCTTTCATAAAAATAGTAGAAAATCATTTTCTGTGCTAGTTGAGACATATGATGTACCCCCACCCGGTTTCCCCACCGAGCTCCCACTCTTCTTCCTTTGATCCAGTCATTGAGTGGTTGCTTTTAAGTACTTTGGTTGATCTACTAAAATAAAAAGCAATAAATGAAAAAAAAAAAGTTTTGTCAGTGCCTCTGAGGTTTTTTTTTTTTTTTGTAGAAAGTGGTGTCCCTCGCGAAAGTGTAGTGTATTCAGTCTTTGCAATTGTATGTTGAGGTACATTGTCCCTAAACTGTTCGATTATTTCTTCACGCAATTATTCACAAAGAGACGAACTTCGCCCCATCTTTGTTGTGAATGACTGAGCAAAACCTAATCATGGCACCCAACTGTTTCCAGTTTGCTTGTTCACATATGGGCTGTTCCAAACAGGTGTATGATGAGCATTCCTGTGTGTGTGATTCTTCTGGAATTGGAACACACCTTCTGGTTCCCCTTCTTGAAAGGAAGGACCACCACCCTGGTCTGCCAATCCAGAGGCACTGTCCCTGATGTCCACGCATAGTTGGAGAGGTGTGTCAACCAGGACAGCCCCACATCATCCAGAGCCTTAAGGAACTTTGAACGGATCTCATTTACCCCAGGGGCATTGCCACCAAGGAGCTTTTTGACCACCTCAGTTTCTCCTGCCCCAGAGATAGGAGAGTCCACCTCAGAGTCTCCAGGCTGTGTTTCCTCAATGAAAAACGTTTTGGTGAAATTGAGGTGTTCAAAGTATTCTCCCCACCGACTCATAACGTCCCGATTCGAGGTCAGCAGTGCCCCATCTTCACTATACACATTGTTTCTGGTTGTCACGTTTGCAAGGTGGTGGTGGACCCCAAAAAAAAAGGCAGGAGGGAGGAGCAGGGTGTACTTGAAAGATTGTATTAAAACTCAGAGAAAACGAAATCCAAAACAAACAAAGTCCAAAGTATCAAACAAAACACATGACTGAAGATAAAACATAACACTGACCAAAACATGACTGAAACAAACATGACAGCAAACAAACATGACAGTA